TGTTCACTCAGCACAGGATCTAAAGGTCCAAAAGTAATCTAAAGGGAAATAAAATTGGAGAGTCTGTAAGAGTATTGCCATCCTTCACAATCTTAGTCTGTATATTAAGGAAGAGGTTTAAATGATGGAAGGAGATGTTTTCTTTCCTTTTTTGTTTTGGAAACCAAATTTTAAATTTGATTTCCCATCTGTATCAACCATACCCATTTCCAGGCTTTATTTTACATACATAGTTGAACATTACAACTTTATTTTCCATCAGTCCTCTGTTCATTCCTCTATTACCCACATCATTCCCTTTATACTTCTACTATTATCAGGAAACACATGTTTCAGCTTCCTCCTGTTCATTTGGTCAGAGCAATTACATCATGGGAATCCATCATTCCATACATCATCCTTCAGTGTATACATACTGTGGCTATCTATGGGATTTCATATTTATTTCATATTTCATGCTTATATTTTAAATCTAACTTCAACATATTAGAGAAAACCTGATAATTTTTTCATTCTGCTCCTGATTTCATTCACAAAATATCTTCACTTTTTGTTTTACAGAAACTAGGCCTTGAACTCAGGCCCTGACCCATGTCCCTGCTCAACCCTAGATTCTATAACTTGGTGCCACACGTCCATTTCCAGCTCTTTTCTAGTTAATTAGAGATAAGTCTCATGCACTTTCCTGCTGAGGGGCATGTAAAAACACAATATTCAGATCTTATCACTTTCCATAGCTAGGATTACAGATGTGAGCCATCAGCAAACAGATAATTTCACCTGTTTGTTTAGGTTTAACTTCTTTCAATTTTCACTTTTTAAAAGTCATTTCCTACTTTCTGATTGCTTTCTATACAATTATTCAACAGGCTTTCAGTCCCTGGCAATTTCCCTGTCTGGTCCAACTTCTCCATCCTCTCTTAACCCATGGGAACATGGATACCCAGCTATTTTTGTATATTTAACCTTTGATATTATAAAACTTTATAGATTTTGATAACTTATCTCTTATTATCACTTGAAAAAGCACAAAGTAGCCATCTTTCCACATCTGCTTCCCTACCATTCTCACCTGTGGAAACCTGTAGATTTCCAGCAATGTCCCAATCTGGGCTGATGTTATTGCTGATATTCCTGTGAGTACTGCTACAGAATTACTTTCTCTCATGCAGGTGTAATTAGGGATCTTGTACTGTCCAGAAAGCCAGACAAAGGGATTCTCAAGTGTTGACCAAGCTTTGAAATCCACATTATAGATATCAAATCCCAGAGTTATGTTATGTAAAAGATTGGGGTTCTTGTTGATTTCTTCAATGGCAAAAGCCAAGGCCAGAACAAACTGGTAGTTCTTGAAGACAAATCTGCACCATAGATACGAAAAATTCATCAGAAGTAATTGCAACTTTATCTGCATGTCAATGCAATAACTTTGATGAGTTTAATGTTTGTGTCTTTAAAACATAAATGTGTTAACAAAAATTACCCTCTTTGGCATGGAATGGTAATGTGGTGTCCACATGAATTCTCAGAAACTATGATTTTTCTCTTTTATATGCAATATACCAAAAAGTTTGGTCTTCATTAAACACGGAATAGGCTATCATGAGACACAAAATATTTTTTACCTCGATCTTAGAAAAACTAGCTCCATATGTGTGACAAATCTTTGTTTTTCAGCCACCTAGTATGTTACATGGTTATGTGTCCGGTTATAGGTTCATTTGAGGAGGATCCTACAGCTCTCTTCAGAAACCCATCACTTTGAACAGCTCTTTCTGAGATAGCTACCAGAACAAAAACTCAAAATATCAGGAGAGAGGCTTTAGTTATAATTTATGCAACAGAGTAAATAAGATGCTTTAAAATGCAACAGAAAGTAGTTTCCCATATGAAGTTTCACTTCACTAAACTTCAAGAAACTAACCGTGAAGAAAGGAACTTCCAACTACAGGATGGAGAGAAAATTGTCATAAAGACTTGTGCTAAAATATCTGTCCCACAATTCCCACGGTGACATGGTAAAATGCAGTTGTGGGAAATGTTTTGATGATCACTACTCTCTTTCCAAAATATGTACATCGAGATGTTGAAAAAGAAAGGATACAGAAAGTAAAGAGGATTAAAGTCTCTATTCTCTCTCTGTCTCTTTGTCTCTCTCTGTGTGTGGGGGGGGTGTCTGTCTGTCTCTGTCATATACACAAGTAGACAACATAATGAAACTCAATGCACACTATTTTTAAAAAAGGAATGATAGAGGGGGAATTGTAATACTAATGAGGGACTGAACTTGTCCAGCATTTCCTATATGCATGTGTGGAATTGTCACAATAGAAAAGTTTTATATCAGTGATGTATGCTAATCCCAAATAAAGTTTCAAAATTGGCTTACTTCACTTAATAGAATTTTCCCAAATCTTTCCATTTCCTTATGAATGGTATAATATCATTCTGATGGATGACTAGAATTTGTATATATTTCACATTTTCTTGATAGGTTCATCAACAGAGAGACATGTGCTTTGATTCTTTATCTTGGCTATGGTAAACAATGATGCAATGAACATGTTTGTGCTGCTGGCTTTTGGTTTTTGGTCCATTGCATAAGTGCCCAGCAGTGGGATTGCTGGGTCATAGTGAAGCTCTATGTTTAATCTTTTAAGGAACCTCCATACTGCTTTCCAGCGTGTTGAACAAGTTTACATTCCCCCCAGCAATGTAACAGAGTGTCATTTTGGCCACATCCTGCCAGCCTTAGTTATTTTAAGTTTTCCTGTAATGGCAAATCTAACTGGAGTGAGGTTGTTTTGATTTGCATTTCTTTTATAACTAGAGATGTTGACACTTATTTATGTTTCTATTGTCCATTCTTACTTCTTCCTCTGAGAAGTCCCTCTTTAACTCTTTAGCCAATTTATTGATTGGGCTGTTGAGTTTCGATAAGTTTGGTTTTGGGAGGTTAGTTTTTGGAGCTCTAAGTATATTTTAGCTATGAGGTCCTTGTCTGATACATAGCTACATACATAAAGATTTCCCTCATTCTGTGGGCTTTCTGTTTACTGGCTAGCTATGTTCTGACAAGTGAAATATACAGGAGTATAGAGAAGATTCTCAAGTCTGCAGTGGGAAAAACAGGTAAGTATACCACTATTTCCTTAATACTTGACTTATCAGTAGAATTCACAAAGGACAGAAGAACATGGAATGATGTCTATATAATTCTAAATGTAAAAAATATAAATTATTCACAAAGTATAAGGCATCTAGCAAAGATGTTCTGTACAAGTTAAGGACAGGTAAGGATGTTCCCAGACCTGCAAAATTAAGAGAATATACCTCTAGCAGATACTCTAGAAGATATGTCAAAGGAAATTATTCTAATGAAAATCATTATTATGAAAAATATATAGGAATATCAAACTTACTGGTCAGGATAACTATACAAACAAGATGAGAATGTTCCAAAATATAAATGTGCTAGCTAAATCATATACATATTTCTTAGAAGATGAACAATGTTAACATATTTCCAATAATTAATATATAAAAATGTTAAATCAAATATACAGCACTTAAAATGATAAGGACAACAATGCAGTAAGTTTTCATTTGTGCATATTTACTAGTTTAATTATATGAAGAAATTTCACTATGACATTTCTTTACATTCACTTAATTTTAATCATAGTCTGCCTTCTTTCTTGTGGAGACATTTCTTTCTTGTTCTTTTGTTTGCTTCTCATCCTCATCATGGATAGTGCTTTCACTGCAAAATACTTTGCTGTAATCAAGTATAATTTAAGCCTTCTATTAACCACAGATTAAAGCCCATAATAGACAAAGAAAAATAATAACCAAAAAATCAAAGGACAGAGATCATGTAGTAGGGCACCTGCCAGTGAGTGAAAGTATCAAATACAAAGTTTGAATCCCAATCTTAAACAAAAACTCACTTATTAACCACTGAGTCTGCAAGAGAGAAAACATAGAAGAATCATCAGTGAAACTATAGCACACATTACATAATGGAACTAATAAATCATTTGTCAACAATGACTAGGATCAAAACTGCATAAAATTCTCAATGTAAAAGATATGGGACTGAAACCAAGCACCTGTGGCTTATGCCTATAATCCTAGCTGCTCAAGAGGCTGAATTATGAGAATCATGATTCCAAACCAGCCTGGGCAGAAAAAGTCTATGAAACTTATCTCCAGTTAAGCACAAAAATCTAGAAGTGGATTTGTGGCTCAAGTGGTAGGGCACTAGCCTTGAGCATAAGAGCTCTGGAACCACACCCAGGCTGTGATTTCAAACCCTAGTACCAACACACACCAAACTCTATGTTGCCTCCAAAGGCCCCACTTCACCTTCAAAAGCTCCCATACACTGCAAGGTATGGAGGGGAGGCCCTGTGCAAGTGGAAACTAAAAGAAAGCAGGAGTATCCTTAATACAACATGTCAAATAGACTTTCAACACAATGAAAAGTGAGAAGGATTACAGTACAATGACAAAAGAATAAAATCAGCAAAATGGCATAGCAATTTTAAATGCATATTTACTCATTATCCAAACACTTCACTATCTGAAGGAAGTGTTAGGAGAAAGGAGAGACAGTCCCTAGTATAATCATTGCTAAAGAGTATCTGGAGAGACAAAGTGAACAAGGATTGATCTGAGAGAGGTTTTACTCTAGATCAAGTGAGCCTCACACCTGTAAAAATTTCACCCAATTTCTGAAAAGACCATCTCTTCATCACACATTGAACATTTCCCAGAGAGATCAAGGAAGATGACCCAAAAGCACCCTCTAAATACTGAAATTTTCTTTACTATACACTGTGACTATGGTGTAGTAAAACTAGACAGTAATAGTAAAAGTGTGAAAATATGCATATAAAAATTTAAAAGAATGATTTTAAGCCACAAATGGGTCATGTCAAATTCAAGAAATTGAAAATGAAAACAGACTACCAAAATCTCTTTTTCTTTTTCTTTTTCCTTTTTTTTTGGTGGGGTGGGTCTTGTCATGGGTCCTGAACTCTGGGTCTGGGCACTGTTCCTCAGCTCTTCAGCTCAAGGCTAGCACTCCACCACTTGGCCCACAGCACCACTTCCAGCTTTTTTTCTTTTCTGCTTATGTGGTGCTGAGGAATCAAACCCAGGGCCCCATGCATGCAAGGCAAGCGCTCTACCACTGAGCCATCATTCCAGCCCCTCTTTTTCTTTTTCTTTCTTTCCATTTTTTCTGGTCTTAGGACTTGAACCTTGGGCTTGGGTACATTCTCTTAGCTTTGTTGCTCAAGACTAGTGCTCTTGAGCCATAGCATCATTACTGGCTTTCGGCAGACTCATTGGAGGCAAGAGTCTCATGGGCTTTACTGCCCTAACTGACTTCAAACTGTGATCTTCAGATCTCAGCCTCCTGAATAGTTAGGAATATAGGCATGACTCTCCAGCACCCAGATAGAAAAGCCATTTTAGATAGTGGCACTAGGCAGTCCCTAGGCTGGGAGAAAACAGGACTCCTTTAGTCTTCTCTGTGCTGCCAAATTTGTGTATTGAACTACCAGACAGTCCCTTGATTCTTTGAAATGATGTCTGAGTGACATACATATTAAGATAGCTTTCTGATCAAGAGTGAGAGCAGGAGATTGAATTTCCCTTCAACTAAATCCTAGCATTTTAGGAAACATCTCAGTCTGCTAAACAGTGATACAGTTAATAACTGTTTAGTTTAACCTTCCAAAGTTACTGTGTGGATTACTCTGTGAAGGTGAGATGTTTTCCTTGATATGGTTTAAGAGGACATTTATTGGCCTTTGTCCTTAATTCCTGGCACAAGGCTCCTAACCTTATGGTACTTTTCAAGTGATAAAGGTGACAGAAGCCCTTTTGCCAGTTCTGGGGCTTGAACTAAGGGCCTCGACACTGTCCCTGAGCCTATTTGTGCTCAAAGCCACCACTCTACCTCTTGAGTTGAAGTCTACTTCTGGCTTTTTCTGAATAATTTATTTGGAGATAAGAGTCTCACAGATTTTACTGCCCAGGCTGTCTCCAAACCATGATCCTCAGCTCTCAGCCTCTTGAATAGCTAGGATTACAGACACCTGGCTTACTCCTTTTGTTCTAGTGTTTCAACTCTTAGCAGGTCCCTATATGACTTTAGTTAGACCATGCTTTGATCAGAAGTTTGGAACTGTTAGCCCTAACTTCTTGACTTACAAGGCAGAGGGGATGGATATTACATTCTATTGCCAATTGCCAGCAATTTACTTAATCATGCCTACATCATAAAATTTCCCTAAAACTTCTAAGCCAAGATATGTTAGTGGAGTCTCTGAGAAA